CAGTAGGGCAAAGCCTGCCTGAGCTCGGGGACTTCTAGGACAGTCTGGGACAGAAGTGGCAGTGCCAGGGTAGTAAGGAGGCCCCTCTTTGGAGGTTGTCCCTGAGTGTAACATGTGCATGGGGGAGGTTTTTAAAAGCGCACAGCCATGTAGATATATCCACATTTTAGCAAATCCTCTGACAAACTTCTCATCTTCCTTCTGTAGTAAAAATGGAGAGTCGTTAAGGATTCAATGTTAGATGGAGGGGGGTCTCCAGTGGAGGGAGTGCCCCAGGCTGGGCTTTGTTGACTGCAGAGGGCCTGAGTTTGAATTGTGTGAGCACCAGGACAACAAGAACCACTGTGTGATAGCAAAAAGAAAGCCTGGAAGATGATGAGCGAGGGCAGTTCCCACTGAGCAGCAGCCTGGGATGCTGGCAGGGTCGCAGGCTCATTGGGATGGAGGTTTCACTAAAGCCGGGGGGGGGAGCCCTGACTGCTCTGAAATCCATTTAGATCTGCCTTTCATTGTGTAGCCCAGAGCATCACCGCGCTCACCTAGGCAGCTGTTCAATGCTCCACAATCGGTCATCGGACACCCAGGCTCTTTCAGTCAGGGAGTTAAGGGAGCTTCAGGCAGTGGCCACTCTCTGGTTGAACAGGTGTTGTAGATAATTCCACGTGCCAGGTTTAAGAGAGCGGTCCCTTCTGTTGCTAGATCTGTGAGAAGGACACCCTTTATTCAACCTGTCTTTGTGCGTGAAGTTTGGCATACATTCCCTGTCTCCTCCCAGGCCCGAGTTCTCTGGAGAAAGGTGTAGCTAGCACACTTATTAAAGTTGCAGCTGGCCCAGAGCTGGGAAGGGTAGTTTATAGAGTGCTGTAGGAGAGAGGCAGACTCCAAAAGATCTCAGCAGGATTCCTCAAAGACCGTGCCTCTCCCTGGGGCCTGAATGTTCCATCCAAATGGGGCTTCTTTATATTTTCCATATACCGTGATCCATCTCCCCTAATTGTACCTCCACACAGGCTGTTCCCCCCACTAGGACTGCTTTCCCTCCTCCTCTGTGCCTCTGGGATCCCTGAGCACCTCTGGCATCCCTGAGCGCCCCTGCAGGCTCAGCACAGAAGCCACCACCCAAGGGAGCCCTTTCTGGATTCCCCAAATGGTAGTGCTTCCTTCTGCCCTGAAATTACTTTGTGTTTATTTTCTACAGATTTTGTATTTTATTTCTCATGTAGCGATTATGTCTGCCTTCACCCCAGCCTTCTGCCAGTACACTATTGGCCTCTTGAGGGCAGGGAAAGTTTCATTTTTGTCTTTGTATCTTCATTGCCTAGAACAGGGCTTCTTCAACTTTTTCCACTCGCCACCCCTTCTGTGCTTCTTAAACTCTAACCCTAAATGCACAACCCACAGTTTAAGAAGCACTGGCCCTAGAACATCACTGAGCATCTAGTGCACACTTGGTAAATGCTCACTGAAATGAAAATCCAGTCAGGTGACATTTAATAGCTATCAATGCAAAGTTTTACACTTGTGCTCAAAGACTGAGCTTGGTTAAGTAAAGAAGGGGGAAGAAAAGGGGGGATGGTGGTTTGGCTGAATAAGATCTGAATCAGCACAAAACCAACCCGAGAAAACAAAACGGAAGTGAGCTTGGGCCGAATTCAGACAGGCTCTGCGTGTGGGTGCTGAGGGAGACCATCGTCCCTATGACTTGGTCAGAACAAATCTAGAGTGTTGGGTCCTACCTTTAAAAGTCAGCTTGAGAACCTCCGGGGTGGAGGCCTTGACCTCAAGCTAAATGAGGATTGGCTGAAGGAAGTGGTCATGGAAACATCAAGGGGGATAGCATGGGGGACACGAGGGTGGGGGCTTCAGGTCTTTAAAGGACTGTGAGTAGTCCTGGCCAAGACTCCAGAATTAGGAATGAGGAGTGGGAGACACACAGAGACAGAAAGAGGTTTGGGGAAAGAAAAACCCTCCCTGGTCATGGAAGCTGCCCCCAAGTAGAGCTGGAGGTCATGGACCCCCTTCCTAAGAGTCTTCAGGCACAGACTGAAGGACCCCTGGCTGGCAGCATCGTCGAGGGGATTCTTGTGGACATGTCCTTTGGGTGGGAAGGCCCCCGAGGCTCCTTCCAGATCTGAGACAGCCGTAGATTTAGTCCCAGCTTTTCTCCTAAGCTTCTCCTTTTGCCATCCCCATCTGCAGATCCACTCTTTTTTCCCAACCTAGAGACTGAGGCCTAACGTCTGTTCCTCCATAGCATCTATGTCAACTTCCCCAGTGTTTTCCACGTCCTTTGTCTCCATCAGTTCTTTACTTTTATTATACTTCTCTACATATGCTGTGGCCCTGTTAGAAGGATCTTAGATTTAGAGCTTGAAGGGGCCTCACTGCATCCAAAACCCTCATTTTACAGATGAGGAAACTGAGGCTAAGAGAGATGAAGGGACTTTCCCAGGGTTGCACAACAAATGTATGATGTAGAATTTGGACTCAAGTCTTCCTGACTCCAAGTGCCCTGCCCACTCTGCCATGTTGTGTCAGTGAATGGAAGCTTCTTCAGTACAGGGACTGTGTTATATTCATTTTATAGCCCCAATGCCTTTTAATTAGTAGATTCTTTTATGTATTTATTTATTTATTAGGCAATTGGGGTTAAGTGACTTGCCCAGGGTCACACAGCTAGTAAGTGTCAAGTGTTTGGTGTAAGGCCGAATTTGAACTCAGGTCCTCCTGATTTCAGGGCCGGTGCTCTATCCACTGTGCCACCTAGCTGCCCCAAATTCGTAGATTCTTAATGTTTTTAATAGAATTTTGTATTATTGTTGCTGATATTTTCTCTCAAAATTTTTTTATATTCTTTGAATTTTTCTTGTTGTTCAAAGCCCAAGATATAAAATAGCATATTAAATAACAAAACAAAGAGTTCTGAACAATATCTTTGGACCAAGAGGCAGGATGGCAGAGTGGATGTTGAGAGCTCATCTTGGGAGTCAAGAAAACCTGGGTTCAAGTTCAGCTTCTAATACACACTGAGCTCAGTGATCCCAGGAAACTCTGAGGCTGTACCTCTCAGAGATAATTGGGGATTTGCATTGATAGAGAGAAGGGGTTTTCTCATCAGTTCTCTCAGGGAAATCCTAGGTCCTGTCCATTGCCAGAGGGGAAACATGGCTGACTCTTCACATTAAAATTGAAATACAAAGTTTTCCCTAAAGTTCTTCTATGGTGCTGCTCATTCTGTGGAGCTAACTTAGATTCGTGAAGCATAAGCCAATGAAGTGCAAGCTCTGGCAGGGCAGGGCAGTGGTCTCTCCTCTGAGGAAGGGCCACCGCTTTTGAAACCTCTGAGGCTGAAGAGCTGTCAGGGCAGTCTTTGCATGTCTAGGAATCCCTCATAAAGTGCCCCCAGAATCCACCTCTGCCTCTGCCTGACCACTTCCAGTGAGAGCAGACGTCTCCACGGCCTCTGGAGGCAGCCCCTCCACTCTGGGTCCACTCTCATCATTAGCAAGTGGCTCCCTTCTCAAGCCGTCACCCGCCTCGGGGCCCTGGTCTGTCCAATCTGACTGAGTTAGGAGAGGCAGCCACCAAGTCATGAGTGCCTTTGGACACAACTCACTGAACCCTTGTTGGCGGTGTGGAGGGCTTCCAGCACGCATCCGCAGAACACACGGTCACTGGGAGAAAATCATGCATATTTCAAGTGTGGAGCACTGTGAGATACCCAAGAACTTGGCACAGTTTTGGCCCCTTCACTGGCCATTTATAGTCCTGGTGTTCGGCGTTTCTGTTGAAATCAGTTTTGTGATTAACTGAAGTCAGCTCAAAATTTTTAGCCCTTGTTCTCAAAGTACCAAAAGATCATTTTATAGAGCTAGAAAAAAATAACAATTCATCTAGAAGAACAAAAGGGCGATATCAAGGGAATCTGTGAAAAAAATGTGAAGGAAGATAGCTGAGTCATACCAGATGTCAAACTGTGTTATAAAGAGTTAATCATCAAAATGACCTGGTGCTGGTCAAAAAAATACAAGTCAATTAGTGGGATAGATTAGGTACGCAATATATTGTAGTAAATAACCATAGTAATTTAGTGTCTGATAAACCCCCAAAATCCAAACTTTTGGGACAGAAACTCATTATTTAACAAAAACTGCTGGGAAAACTAGAAAATAGTGAGGCAGAAACTGGGTATAGACCAACATCTCACACTGTATAGCAAGATAAAGTCAAAATGGGTACATGATTTAAACTTGAAGGGTGATACCATAAGCAAATTAGGAGAGCAAGGAATAGTTTACCTGTCAGATCTATGGAGAAGGGAAGAATTTAGGACCAAACAAAATGTGGAAAGCATCATGAAATGTAAAATGGATATTTTTTATATAAACACTGTTAGTTTACTTTCTAGCCCTAATCAGAATGTTCCAAGATCTCAGGGTTGCTGTTGTGACAAAATCAATCTCATTAGCAGAGCTATTGCTCAAAACACATGAAGTTAAAGAACATTTTATCTCGAGTTTCTCTAGCCCAGACTCTCAGTGGTCAGAGTAAGGTAACTGAAGCCAGAGAGGGTGAGTGGCCAGGTAAGTGGCACATCAGGCCTTCTCACTCCATCATTCTGCTTATTCACTGAGCGTTCTTTCACGCCAGGTTTGTAAGAGCTGATGCTGAGCCCAGGCTGAAGCCTGGAAGGGGACTTTCTGAATAGACTATGTTCCTGCCTGTACTTCATGTTTTCTTGGCAAGTTTCAGTTAGTTTCTGCTTCTGGACCACGTGGGCTTCTGATCAATGCAGATCTGACTGTGGCCAGCAGGGGACTTTCAGTTCCCCGTTACCCTTCATCCTCTCAGGCTTTCTGCACGGAAGGTTGGCCCAAGCACAGGCTCGTGAACTGTTAGGGCCAGAGTCCAGGGGTGACGTTAGAGCTCTGGAATAACTCATCGTCCTCAGGGGCACACGGAGCCACTAAGCGTCTCCATTTGTTTTCTGTTACAATTAGCTGCTAGATTGTGATCAGGAGCTTTACAAGAACTTCCCTCTGGTAATCTCCGAACGCTGGCAGCAGGAGGTAGCCGAGACAGTCTACGAGGCCGTGAATGCAGACACCGATAAGATCGAGGCCAGGAAACGAGCCAAAAATAAGCAGCTCGGCCATGAGGAAGGTAAACTTGTTCACATTGCTTGGGACATAATTTATCTCCTGACTTCAAAGTCTCCTGGTACTCCTATGGTCCAGATTTTTGTATGCCTTGAATTAGCGCTGCTTCTGCTGAAATACCTTGGGCCCCCACCCCCCAGCTCTCAGACCTTTTTTATCTTTCATTTAGTCAAAAGGAATATCCTGATGCCTGGTCTTCCCCGAGCCCTAAGCATGGAACCCCTGGAGCATTTTCTCCATGTGTGGCTTCAGTCAGTCCACTCCTTGGCTCAGAAACCTTTTTGTGTTTCCTCTTTGCTTCCCCAGTGAACTCTAGTCTCCTTAGCTGGGTTTCAGAACCTCCTTCCACCCTCCACTCCCACCCCACATGTGTACTTTAGGCTCCAGCCACATCTTGAACACATCCTTTCCCTGATGGCTGGAGTGCAGCTCGGGACACTTCCCATTCCAGCCTCTCAAAATCCTACCCATTATTCAGTATTCGACTGCAATGCCACATCCTCCATGATTGACCGTGGTCTCTCTTCCCTCTCTGAGACACCTTCCTCATGGAACCTCCAGCAGGCCCCTTTGCCTTCCCACTTCAAATTCTATGCAGCGCTTCTTAAACTGTGAGTCATGACCCCATAATTTGGCAACAGTAAAAGGTTTCTGAATGTGCAATGACCAAATTTAATTAAAAATCAAATGTGTGATGAATCTGAGGTGTTTCTGGAACACTTGTCCGAGTCACAACTTCATTGCAGCCTTGGTTCTGAATACACAGCATGTGCACTTTGCATTGTGCACGCCCTCAGGCCACACAAAGCCAACAGACTTTGCTTCAAAGGGGTCAAAAGTGGAAAAAGTTTAAGAAGCCCTGTTTTATATATAGTACATTATGATGTGAAGCACATTATGCCAATTTTATATAATTTTATAAATTTATATAATTTTTACAATTGTTGACCAGCATTTATTAAGTGCCTACTATGTGTCAGGCACTATTCTGAGCACTTTATAACTATGACCTCATTTGATCCTCAGGTAGGTGCTGTTATTATCCTCATTTTATAGTTGAGGAGACTAGGGCGAACAGAGGTGAAATGACTTTCTCAGAGTCACCCAGCTAGTGTCTGAGGCTGAATTTGAACTCAGATTTCCCAGACTCCATCTGGTTCAAACGTAACATGCTTAAATATGTTATTAAGCCCCAGTACCTTTGTTTGACTTTTGTGGTGGGGCAGATTCTGGGAGTTAAAGTTTCTGTGTTCCTGCACGGCAGCCCTGGAGTTGTGGGGACTGGGAAAGGGACGTCATGCTGGGAGTCGCAGTGAGAGAAGAACCATCTGCTAGTGTCAGGACAGGATCAGAATCCTGGGTGGGATGCTTCCTAACGGCTCCCTGAGCGAGAGCATGGCCCACGAGGAGGCTTCTTGTGTTCTGCCCTTGTGCTCCTCGAACAGAGAAATGGCGCTGACAGCTGCACTTGGCTGCTCTGTTAGCGTTATAGCATTGGGAATAGGACTGCTGGCCATCACTCACAAACGGTCTTGTTCTTTCTTTTGTTGACATATGACAGTATTTGGGAAATCATTTCCTATTTTCAATCAGTTACCAGATCCACTGGCCTTTAATCACCTACCATGTGCCTCGTGCTGGAGTCTAGACCTGTGAAGCTCCCAGGGGAGAGAGCCCCTTCTGCCAAGGCAGGAGTTGGGCATCTTAATTAGCACCTTCCCTGCCATATATAGCCTTACAGAGCTGCCCAGAGCAGTTGGGGCCTCTGGGGTGATGACCTGGTGACTTAAAAACCACAGTCGCATTACCTGGATTGTTTACCATTTACCAGTTACGTTTTCCTCTGGTTCAGGCCTCACTAGGGAGGGCCCACAGGCAACGTTGGACACCTCTGACCTAGAACACTGTAAGGTGACTATGACTTACCCAGGGTCACACAGCCAAGAGATGTCAGAAGTGAGACTTGCACCCAGGCTAGCTCTCTGTCCAATACTAACTCTACACTGCCAAAAGAGGCCCTGCCCTCAAGGGGCTTACGTTGGAATGGGGTAGACAGCTCATACAAGATGCAGGGTAGATGAGAGGGGAAGGCATTACATATACCTGAGTGGAACAGGACGGGCCCCTTGCCAAAGGCTATGCTCAAGCTGAGCTTTGAAAGAGCTTCTGGGTTCTGGGAAGTGGACGTGGCTTTGGAGAACCTTCCAGAAATGGGGTGTGGCCAATGCAGAGGCAAGGGGGCAGGAGACGGAGCAGGATCTAGGTGTTCTGTGTGAGGAGGGGGGTGACGGCTGGACCACAGAGCGAGTGGAGAGGAAGAATGTCCACTGAGGCTGGGCAGATGTCTTGGGCCAGGTTGTGAAGAGAGCAAACAGGGGCTACATTTGATCCTAGAGTGATAGGGGGGCAGACCTGCCCTTTAGGACAAATCATTTTGGCAGCTTGTGGAAGATGGACTGAAGAGGGAAGAGATTGGAGGCAGGGAGGCTGATGAGAAGTCCAAGCAATGGGCTTGGTGAGGGTGATGAGGGCTGTGTGGGGAGAACAAAGGAGAAATAGACAAGAGATGGAAATGACAAAATTCAGCAACTTAGGGACTATACAGGTGGTGGAGGCTTGGTCAAGGAGTCCATCTCTGGCAGAAGGATGGCACTACCTAAAGAAGGAACAGGGAGTTGGAGAGGAATGGATTTGAAGGGAAAGAGGAGGACCTTGTTTGGGGCACACTGAGTCTGAGATGCCAGTGGGACTTCCATTTTGAAATGTTCAGTAGGCAGTTAGTGATGTCAGGCTGGAGCTTAGGAGGGAGACTAAAGTTGGACAGAAAAGGTTTGGTGTCATCATGATGGAGGTGATCACCATGTGAGAGTGTAGTGGGAAAGAAAGAACGATGCCCACGGGGGAGCCTTGGGTCCACCCACAATAAATGGGCACAGCGTGTGTGAGTACCCAGCAAAAGAGCCTGAGGAAAGTGGTTAGAGAGGGGAGAGCAGGGTCACAAAACTCAGAAAGGATCAATCACCCAGGAAGAGGTGATAGAGCAGTGACAAAGGTGACAGCTAGGTCAGGAGGGCCGAGGGTTGAGAGAAGGCTGTTGGGTGTGGAATGAAGAACTTGAGGGGAGCTGGGGAGAGGAGGGCAGGCTCAGGGGCATGAGGAGACTGGAAGCCAGACTGTGGAGAGCCAAGAAGAGGGCGGACGGAGAGGAGAAACAGCTAGTGGGGACAGCTTTCTTAAGGAGTTCAATTGAGAATGAAGGAGAAGTAAGTAGTGTTTTCAGATTCTCGGCGAAGGTTGTTTTTTTTTTTTTAAATTTTCTGGAATGGTAAATTCTTTTGAAATCTCATCAGGATCATGAGCAGTTTTTAATCATTTGGCAACACATATGTAATTTATATATGCTTCTTGGCAGTTAGGAGGCTCAGTGGATAGAGTGCTGGGCCTGGAGTCAGGAAGACTCCGCTTCCCACTGTGTAACCCTGGGCAAGTCACTTAACCCTGTTTGCCTTAGTTTCCTCATCTGTCAAATGAGCTGGAGAAGAAAATGGCAAACCACTCCAGGATCTTTGTCAAGAAAACCCCAAATGGGGTCATGGAGTGTCAGACACAACTGAAACAACACCAACAACATATTACAGGTGTATTCTTGAGGGCAAGAATTATTCTGTGTTAGTCTTTGTATCCTTGGTACCCTGTGCAATGCCTGACACATAGTAGGTGCTTAATAAATTTTTGTCAACTGTTTGGTATATAACACTTTAGCTGTTGTAATTTGAGTGTAATTTGTGGAATTTAAATTTTCTAAGAGAAGCTATAATGCATCTTTCTTTGTAAATAACATCTTAAAAGCTTTTCCCCCCAGCGTTTCTCTGATTTGCTTCTATCTTATGTCTTCACAGATTATGCTTTAGGGAAGGACTGTACTTTACACGGATACATGTTGAAACTGGGAAATCCATTTTTGACGCAGTGGCAACGTCGTTATTTTTACCTCTTTCCAAACAGACTTGAGTGGAGGGGGGAGGGAGAATCACGGGTAAGTCCAAAAGGAAATGTGAGCCCTTATTTTTCTAAGATCACAACGACGTAGTTGTGAATCCCAAAGGACATTTTGATGGAGGATACGTTAAGACTCAGGGTGTGCTCGAAGGCTCCTTCCAAGGAAAGTGGGCACCAAAGTATACGTGAACATGAAAGTTTAATGCCCAAATAATATTTTTTTAACTATTTAGAAATAAAATAACTAAACTGTTCTTTTCAGTAAGTCAGCATTTTATCGAGTACTTACTCTATACCAAAGACCTATATTAGACATGAAGGGTAAGCAGAGGACATGGAGAAGATGCTCCCGCTTCCTCCAAGGAGCCCGGGACATCCCGGGGAGACTACAGGGTGACCGGTTGAGAGCTAGGAGGGCCGGCTGGGGCCTTCACAGAACGTTTTTCTTGAATAAATGAATGCATAAACTAATTGATGACAGAAATATTTCATTGCCTAACCTAAGTCCTGATTCAGACATCAGCCTTTCATTCTGAGTGACTTTCATTTCATACTGTCATATTTCTTTTGTGGTCTGACTAAATCACTCCACCATGAGCGGTTTAATGGGAGTGAGGTTTGTATTTTTAGCAGTTAATGGCTTCTAGGCTGTGAGGTTACCCTTTATGAATAACTGCCCTTGGGAATTGATTGGAACGTAATGACCAATCTGTGTTCCACAGTTCTAAAAGTGACTTAATTCAGGAGGCCGGTTCCTGTTCAGCACCAAGATTTATCTTTATTCATTATTTAGACATCTGAATTACACATGGTAATCAGGTGCCTCTGGCCAAGAGGGGCTGGCTCAGGGGCAGAGATTTTTAAAAGAATGCTTTCCCTGATCTTGAGGGAGCTTACACCCTGTCTTACAGGGGCTTCCCTAAGTCAGGGTCTTTCTCCTACATTTAGAACATTTCAAATCTGAAATATTGAAGCAATGAAGAATAATTTGGCTTTCTTAACTCTAGGATGCAGGTAATTATGTATTTGCTTTTGTCTTTAACTTTTGGGTTCCCTGAGGGACTTTTCAAAACACTTAATTGGAATGCAGGGACAGGGCCTGGGCCTGTGATTCATTGCTATAGGGACCTCTCAGGTGAGGAAGTCCTCCACCGATTCAAGTGGGTCTGGTCTCTGCAATCACCTGAGCCCAGAGAGGGGGAAGGGATGTGGGTCAACCTCAGGTCACAGAGCCAGCACGTCAGAGATAGGGCTTAGACCTGAGACTTCTTGGTGCTGGGGCTAGCTCTCAGGCCACTAGGCTGTCCTCATCTGAATTGGAATTTGCTTTTTAGTAATAATAGTAACAACAACAACAACAATTCATATTTGCGTGATAATTCTAGATTTATCCCAGTGCTTTAACTTAATTCAACTCATCAAGTATTTATTGAGTGCCTACTACATGCGAATGTGCTGTGCTGGACCCTGGGAATACAAAAGCTTCCCCTTAGAAGCCATGTTCTCTTGGCCACTGTTCGGAGAGAGATGAGTAAATGAATCCAGGTGCATTTCGAGAGGGCGACTGTCCTCACCATACTAGACGGGGGCAGGTGGCCCTTGTATGAAGACTGGAGGAAGTTAAAGATTCTGAGAGGTTGCGATGAGGTGTGGGAGACGGGGACTGGAAGACGGGGTTTGGGGCATCGCCAGGACGTCAGTTTGGCAGGACCAGAGAGTGAGTAAAGGGGCGACGTGGGACATGAGTCAGCGAGAATAAGCTGATGGTGACGGGGACGCAGTTTCAGTACCACGCAGAAGCAGTGGTATTATGTCCTGGACCCGGGAAGCCAGGCAGAGTTTTTGAGCGGGGGAAGCAATTTAACAGCAATGGAGGAGATGGTTTGGAGATGGGGAAGGCTGGAAGCAGAGAGAAGGAATATAAGGGTGTGAGAGTCATCCAGGGGAGAGAGGAGAAGGCCTGGACTCGGATGGCCGGCTTGGGGGACAGAAGGGTACACCGGATGGGTCTTGGCAGCTGAAGGTGGCAAACTTGAGTGACAGCAAGCATTCAGCTTCCCTAAAAAAAGAATCCCAATAGCTTCTCGTGCTCCGTGTGTGGATCTGTACGAGAAAATGCTTCTTCTAAAAGCAAACTTGGCTAGAACCTTTGGGCCTCAGCTCCTTTTCTGCCAAATGAGATAGAGTCAAGTCACAGGATCAAGCATTTATTAAGCACCTACTATGTGCCAGGCACTGTGTTAAGTGCTGGAGATCCAAAAAAGGGCCAACATCTCCCCCCCCCAAAAAAAACCAAACAAAAATGCAATAATCATCTCTACTCTCAAGGAGCTCACAGTTTAGTCTGGGGAGACAGCATGCAAACAGCAAGCTATACAGAGAGTAAATTGGAGATAATCAGCAGAGAGAAGGCATTAAGGAGGATTGGGAGAGGCTTCTGGAAGGGGGTGGATTTGAAGCTGGGACTTAAAGGGAGCCAGGGAAGCCCAGGAGGCAGAGAAGAGGTGGGAGAGCATTCCAGACATGGGGGACGGCCAGTCAGCAGATGGAGCATCTTATATGAAGAGCAGTGAGGAGGTGAGTGTCTCCTGTGTGGGGGTGAAGGAGGTGTAAGAAGGGGCCAGATCCAGTTTTACGTTTGATCCCAGAGGTGATAGGGAGCTGCTGGAGTGTACTGACTATGGAGGCGGCGTGCTCAGGTCAGACGATCAGTCTGACAGCTGAGTGGAGGCTGGACTGGAGTGGGGAGAGATGTGAGGCAGGAAGATTAGCCAGCAGCTATGACAGTAGTCCAGGTGTGATGAAGGCCTGCACCAGGGTGTGGCAGCGTCAGGAGAGAAGGGGCGTTACAGAGGTGGAATCAGCAGACTGGCCGTGAAAAGGAGCTAGGGGTCAGGGATGACCCCTCGCTTGTGAGCTTGAGGGGGAGGGAGGGTTTGGGGGCAAAGATGGCGAGTTCAGTTTTAGGCACATTGAGGTTTACAGCTATCTGCGGGACATCCAGTCTGACCTGGGGAGAGAGGCCAGGGCTGGATAAGTAAGGATGAGGCCAGCTCTCCAGCCAGTTTGCCACACTGCCTCCGAATCGGCATCAACTCTAATAATAATAACTTAGATCTGAGGATCATTAGCTTAAAGATAATGCTACACATTTGTGGGGGCTGGGAGGATGACCACGGTGAACAGGCATAGCCTGGGCCAAGATCCAGCTGAGCAATCTTGGGCAGGTAAGAGGAGATCCAGGAGGGCAGATCCTAGAGAGAGGAGGGTGTCACAGAAAGGGGGTCGACAGCGTCGGAGGCTGCATAGAGGCTGGGGAGAAGGAGCATCTGGAAGAGGCCGCTAGATTCTGGGCCGGCAGCCAGACTGCCTGGGAGGAAGGGAGGACCTTGTGCATTGCCTTCTGGGGAGTTTGACCACAAAAGGGAGGAAGGAGATAGAAAGACGGCTTAGGGATGGAGGGATCAAATGAGGGAGTTTTGAAGATGAGACGTGGGTGTGTTTGTAAACAGGAGGGAAGCAGCCTGAAGACAAGGAAAGAAAGGAGGCAATGTACTGGATGAGATCCAATCCAATCCAGTCAACACTTATTAAGCGCCTGCTGTGGGCCAGGCACCGTGCCAAGTGCTGGGGATACAGTTAATAAAAAGAAAGAGTCTGTACCCTCAAGGAGCTTCCATTCTAAAAGGGGAGACAACACACAGAAGGAGTCAGGAAAGTAGGGATGGGGATGGGACACCCCGGGGACCCCGGCCCAGGGCCAGCAGATGCCAAGTCGAGTGAGCCAAGCCCAGTTTCTGCCCTCTGTAAAGAACAGCATTGGGAGGGTTTGGACCTCCCCTTCCCCAGCCCTCTTGTGGGAGGAGAGAGGAGGCTGAGGGAGGTAAGGTTCATTAAGGCTTGAGTTTCAGCCAAATGGGAATGACTTGAAATTAGGCAAGAGTGGCAGATGCAGAAAGCGAAAAGGAAAAAGAAAAAGAGGGTGTGGAATGGGATCACTTGGGCAGGCAGAGGAGTCAGTCTCCATAAGGAGGGGGCCACCCCTTGATGAGACACGGGTGGAGCAGTGGCAGAGGCACATGGTAGTGTGAGATGGGAGAGAAGGGGCAGTGAAGAGTGGAGCTGTGAAGATCAGAAAGGGATCCAGATGGCCCAGAAAGGGCAAGGGTGACCGCCCAGGAAGACCTTAGAAGCAGAGGGATCTGCTGTCTCTTCATGACAAGGGAGGGGTGGAATGACTGCAGACTGTGCTCAGATAAGAACATTTCAGACTTCATGAACGCGGAGGGAGCGCGTTTGTGGGTGACGGTGAGATTGAGGGTATGACCATCTCTGTGTGTAGCACTGGCGGGGCGCAGAAGCTGCTATTGGTAAATAAATCAGTTGAGGAACTGGGAGGTTAGGGTGTTTAAGGGAATATCAACATGGATGTTGAAAGGCTGGTAGCATAAGGATAGAATTTGGGGAGGACGGAGACCAAGCCTGTCACTGACTTCACTGGGGAAGGAGCGTGTCCTGAGGGCCCCCCCAACTCGAGTGCAGTAACAGGGCAGGTGAGGAAACAGCCCCCCTTCCTGAGCAGTCCTTCTCAGGCTTGGAATCAGCCTGCAAGCATTTATTCCATGCTTACTTACTAAGAAAAACAGAAGTGGCGTCCCTCCCCTTACAGAGCTCATTCTAAGGGAGACGAAAACTTGCAAATAACTCTGCCTGTCAGTATAAGCAGGTCATCTCTGAGGGAAGACACTGGCAGGTGGGGGTTGGGAAGAGGCCCAGAAAGGTCTCCTCCAGAAGGTGGGACCTGTCCAAGCCCCAGGGTGCAAGATGGTGCATCGTGTGTGAGAGGCAGCATCAGAAGCCTGGAAGATGGGGCTGGGGCAGGAACCGGGTTGTCCGGCTCTCGTTGCCAGACAGGATTTTGTATTTGGTCCTGGAGGTGATGGAGCCGCTGGAGTTTGAGCAGAGGGTGCCGCGGGTAGACTTGCTCTGGAGGAAGGTCGCTTTGGCAGCTGAGGATGGAGTGAGGTGGAAGAGGCAGGATTTCAAGGCCCTCTGCTCCGACCTCCTGGTTTTGCAGCAGAGGAAACTGAGGCTCAGAGCTTGACTGAGTTCACACAGGTAGCCTGGGGCAGAAGCAGTGTTTGAGCCTCTGTTGTCTGACCCTGAAAGCCCTGCCCCTGCCCACTGCTGCCTTTCTCTGCTTAGACTAGTCAGGCTCTGCAGGCCTCTGGTATCCCAGGAGATAGGCCTGCACCACAAGTGTATTTCAAAGTGTACATCAAAGGAGATTAGAAGCCTTAATGTAGCCACAAAACATGGAATTCTTGTTACAGGTAGCTTGCGTTTCTAAAGGCCCGGGGTAGCTTTTCATGGTGTTGTTTTTCATTTAGGACTCCTGGAGTATTTATTCAAAAAAACATAAACTGGTAAGGTACCGAGAAGCTATAGCATTCGGCCGTTAACGATGCTATAGTCCAGCGTGTGGGAGTGCCTGGAGGGCATCATCTCTGCACACGTTGTCATCCTTTTATTTTATCCTCATTTTTGTATTTTTCCAAGCTGCCTCTTGCCTCACTAGAACCTCACTGATCAGCTTTGTTAAAGTCACGTGCACTCCTTTGGGTCAGTCGGGGCCTCCGCTGGAGCCCTGAGGGGTCCCTCCACATGGGCTGATTGCATCCATTTATAAGAGAGCGCAAATGGGGAGTGGGGGGAGGGGCCTGCCAATGGTTCAGAAGAGATGCAGATTTCACTGAGTGGACAACTTGGCTCTTTTGCCCAGAATGCCTTTTTTTTTTTTCCCTGCGGTGTTTAAAACAATTTTTGACCTCTTGCTTATATTTTTTTGTAGCTATTTTCTTCATCTTTAGCACGAAGGGGAAAAAAAGGCCAAAAGTTTGTGATTTTCTTTTACGTTTTTTCAAAGCAGCTAGATTTTCAGGATGCATTTTGAGGTTCAACTTTAACAGTTTGAAATTTTAAAGACACTTTTTTTTTTATAGCAAAACCTAGTGACAATGGAACAGATTGTATCAGTGGAAGAAACTCAGATTAAAGACAAAAAATGCATTTTGCTGAGGATAAAAGGAGGAAAACAATTGGTCCTACAGTGTGAGGTGAGTCATGAGAAACATTTGGTGCAACCTAGAGCAGGCAAAGAGAAACCACGTAATGACTTTTGGGCATTTCTACAATATTCTTGCCTCACTGTATTTGATGATTTACAGAGTGTGCTATCGCCTGGCTTTGAAAGAAACTGGCCAAAAACCAAAGCACTTAGGAGAAAATGGTCCCAGGAGGAGCTGAGATCATTCTCACCCTCCCCTGCACCCTGAGGCCTCATTCTATGGCACAGTGGAGAAAACGCTGGACCCGAGTTCAAATCCAGCTTCAGACACTGACTCTTTGTGTGACCCTGGGCAAGTCCCTTCACTTTTATGAGCCTCTGTTCCCTTACCTGTAAAATGGGACAATAACAGCACCTCCCTCACAGGGTTGTTGTGTGTCTCAGTCTACAAACTGCTTGGCAAACTTTAACTTGCTATAGAAATTCCAACTCTTCTCAGTGGGATCAGAGTGCTGGAGGCCATGTACATTTTTAATTCGAGGAGTACTTTCTGGATTCTCCAAAAGCTCCTGCCTTTCTTTTCCCTTGAAATTATGGTGATGGAGCTTTTGTCCTTCTTCCTCAATGCGTCTCAGTTCCTTGGGAACATTTTTGTGAGAGAGAGAGAAGGGTTCATGGTAGTTCAAGATTTCAGGAGTCTGATTTCACCGATGTGGAGACAAGTTAGTGCACGAGCGTTTGTTAGGTCCTCCCCACGTGTCAGGCCCTGTGCTAAGTATTGGAGACACAAAGAAAGGCCAAAGAAGATGGTCCCTATTCCCAAGGAGCTCACAGTCTAATGGGGAAGACAGCGTGCACACCGCTGCGTCCAGACAAGCCACTCTGCATCTCTAAGAAAGAATCTTTCAGAGTTGCTGCAGCTGGAAAGTTGATCACCTTGTGTTCAGCACCGTGTGTCACTTGGCCCTGACTCAAAGGTTTTCTGGCATGGTAGTACCTCCCATAGCTTGTCCTTTGTGGCCATAACCTTTAACCCGCATAATCATTGTCCCACTGCCATAAGACGTTTCACAAATCCTTTTGTTGTGAAGTTTGAATTTAATCAAAGGGCCACACTTGAGGACCCAGAGGGCCACACGTGGCCTTGGGATCGCAGGTTTCCCACCCCTGGTCTAGACAATAGGCGTTTTCTATGCATTTAATTTGTCCTGTGTATCGATCACTAGGCCCATGTCTTTTGAGTAATCTGGAATCTTGTCGAGGAAGTCCTTGGTTTCCTTGGGCTCGATGCAATCAGTCCACCATCATCTGTAAACAGGAACATCTGGAGAAACAAGTTTCTCTTCAGACCCTGTGTAGGACATTCCCCATGACAGTGGCAAACACGTTTGGCGAGCATCCATTACCCGGTTTTATTCCTCACTTGAAAATAATGATCAGAGATGTATTATCCTCTGTGGTTCCAAGAAATTTATGAAGAAGTCGTATTAGTGGGACCCTCAAGGCTGTGTTTTGCTCTTGGGTCTCCTGGAGAGAGAAGTATAATTGACACTTAAATAGGATTTTCACTTCTCTCCGTATTTCAGTCTGTCATGAGACTGGAACAATCATTGGATCAAAGATTTAGAACTCAAAGGGACCTCAGAGTCCAACCCTCTTATTTTAAAGGGGAGGAGGCAGAGGCCAGAAAGGGTAAGTGATTTGCCCAAAATCTCACGGGTAGTAAGTGACAGAGCTGGGGTTCAAGCCCAAGAAACACAAGTTCATCTTCTGTTTCTTGGGGTTAAGGTTGTGACCTTGGGTTCTTGAAAGTTGTGCGTGCAGAGGACCCTGGCAGAGATGCCCCGAATTGGTAAGGTGTTCATTGTGGGCTCAGCAGCGGATGATGGCTTTCTTTTGCTTACAGCCTAATTAAGACCTGAGATGCTCTTTCCCAGAAGCTTGGTCACTGGGTAGTACGGTTCATGGTTGCAGTAACTCAGTAATCTTCACTAGTTAAGTCCATTTGGGTGGAGGGAGACCCAGGCTGGCAGCACGCAGGGCTGCTTCCATTGAGCGTCGTAGAGGAGGGCACTGTGTTGTTTTGTAGGCTTTTGCTGACAGCCCTCTGAAGGCTTCTACGAGTCTAGGATGGAGTCTCTGGTTGGGCTCTAAAGGGAGAAATCTTTGGTGGTCATTCTTTTTCTCAGGTTCCAGCCTTCACGGTGTATCCGTGATTTTAAAGAACTCTCTTAGTGAAGTGGGTAAACGTATAACCATTTCTGCATTTTCTTTCTCATTTAGAGTGACCCCGAGTATGTGCAATGGAAAAAAGAATTGGTAGAAACCTTTACGGAGGCTCAGAGGTTATTACGGCGGGCTCCAAAGTTCCTTAACAAACCTCGACCGACTGTCGTGGAGCTTTCGAAGCCTCCACTCAGCCACAGAAACAGCAACGGCCTTTGATGTGAAGGGACGCTTCTGAGAGACTGTGAGCGCCACAAAGTACTGTGTCCCCACCCCCACACAGGGCGTCGTGTGGAAGAAGAGGGCGCAGAGCTGGGAGTTTGGGCACAGGCACGTTGGCTGGCCTGGATGGCGGCTGCGAGGACCAGACGAGGAAGCAGAGGAGTTCTCACTGATGGGAACAAAGTGTTCGCACGCGGTGCGGTGGCCGCTTCTCGCTCTCATGTCATTACACCCTGGCGGTGTTGGGAATCGCCCGTTCTCTTAAACTACTGAAGAAAGGAAGATTTTGTTTTCTTTGCTACACACTTTATTTTGGTCGATACTGAACCTAGAACTTGAAGTGGTTACTACTTAGCCCTTAAATTTTGACGTTCGATATCCAGCCTATCTCCGGATCTTCTCGGAAGGAGCCTGGAACCGACAGTGTGCGGTGGTAGATTACCTTCCATGTTACCTTAGTGGATCCGGCCCTGCTGGTGTGATCTGTCTTTGCTCCATGCTCCTGGCGATCAACGACCAACCGTGTGATTCTCTGATGCCCTCAGACACGGTCTTCTTTTTGTCCTGGGCTGCAAGGTGGAGAGTCTTTATGAAAAGCCTGGACTTTGGCCCATCTCCTTGTTTGTTGTACTCACACACAGTCGCTGCCACTGTTGTCCTTGGGACTTGGGGGTCTAGCCGTAACCATTGAGGAAGGGGGGATTAGAGGAGGAGAATCTAGAGTTCTGTTGTATCAGTTAGCGATTTAAGCAATTTTGGAATGAATTTTTGGGATGGTTGACAGGGAACTTGAAGGCATTTCTTTTCAAATTCAGGGCAAGTTGCACTTTTAAAAAACCTTTGAACCTATTATGCCCCAGTGGACATGCTGAGGTAGAGCCACGGCGGGCTTTGGTACGCATTCTTCAAAGTCGCTCTTCGCCTGTCCTTTTGACGGTTGGATTTTTCTGCATTTAAAAAACGAGTGACCTTGCAACACAGTGATTCTAACTGGTCCCTCCGAATGTGTGTCCGTGAGAGATGATGCCATGTGACGAAGAAGAAATCACATTGCTGTTTGCATTTTTTTATAGAATTACACAATTTTTATTAACAGGTGTTAAAATTATGAAAAGTGAGTGTCCCAAGTGAGTTTTAAAATACATACATATATACATACACGTCCACTTTCTTTACATAATGCCATTCATATGCCCTAAGCAAATTTATTCTGTACAGCAGGCTGTAATAGTCCACAGCGATGCCGATGCCGCAGCTCCGAGGGCTGGGCCGGTTCAGGAATCTTCTTCCTGGTTACTTGTGGCTTATTTCCTCTCTTCTGAGACGTTCCTTCTGTGCCCCTTTCATGCACAAAACAAGCTCTCCATTCTCAGAACTGTTTTTCTTCATAGCAAAGTGCCAAGTGCCAACAGATTCCAGAAATGGTTTAGAAAGTCACCTCTTTTTTGTGTGTGCAATTGTATCGTGGCTGTGAAAAGAACTAACAGTTTGAATAAGCCGACACTCTGCTCTGCCTTCCCTGCCATCTTCCCTCAAGGTCTACAGGGGTGCCGTGCATTTATGTGTGAGCATTGTGTGAGCCGCAGAAGGGGGTCCCTTTAATGCAGTGACAGGGCAGAGGCTTAAGGATGGTTTTCTTGAAAAGCCACCGAGAAATGGTTTTAGTGTTTGCTGAAAATATCCTTACATTATTAAAAGAAATATGTTTACATCAGATGACAGCATCCTAAGCAATATGCTCAACTTTTTAAAAGTGGCATATTCCCAGATACCTTCATGGAGACTCCAATTAACCACAGCTGTAACTCCCCTCATTGTAATTTGGTCCCCAAGTAGTTTTGTGCAATACAGACAGTGGTGTTAAAGGCATTGAGCCCCACCCTGCCTTGATGAGCGGGCCAGGTGCCAACTCTGTACTTAGAGACTCCCCTGGGTTCTCTCGGGGCCGATCCTTAGCGATCTATGGGTGATGGTGGCCTTACTGTCCCAGTGTGTCCAGAGAGGGTCAGGGTACCTACAGAACAGAAGCAGCTCCCCATCCTGGCAGGGGAATCAGAGGGATTGATAGAATGCCCAAGGATACCTTCATTTTTCAAACTCTGAGCTAAAAGGTGGCCTAAAGAGGCCTTTGACTTTGATGGGATGGGTCTTATTTCAAACTCCTGTTAGACACTTCCAAAATTCACATGTGGGTTCTAAAACCATGACCAGGAGGAATGAGAAGTAGGAGGTAACAATTAGGAGCCCGTGATGGTAGCTCTGAAGTCTCACCTGGCGGCCCTTGCTCTGGTCAGTGTCACAGTTGAAGCTGTCCAGAGGTATTTGTTTGGAAAATGTTAAACCTTGAGGGATGATGGGAAGCAACCCTCTCATTTTACACACAAGGAAAATGAGGCCCAGGGGAATGCAAGGATTTGTCCCGGTGCAGGAAGTGAGTCAGTGGCCCAGCTTTTTATCTCAAATCTGCTCTCTCTTGTTATCCCACTGCGTGATCTGGAATGGGGGATTTCCAGAATCAGAATAGGAAAAATTGCCTTTATTATGTTCCTTGCTGCCCAGGGTGCTAAATGGGGCATTCGTTTTCCTGTGCCATTTTTACCTCTCTACCTTAGACGGGATTGTTGTGATCCAGCTATCACATCCCTTGACGTTTGTCCCCTCTCCTCACATCTTTAGGGTTAAAGTTCAGTAAGTGAGCCTGTGATTTTTAAAAATTTTGTCTCAATGCAGAGTAAGTTCCTGAATTTTATTTCATCAGCTCGTATTTGATTTTTAAAATTCAAATGGTTTAGCATAGTTATCTGTGAAGATAACCTAAAAAACGTCAGGAGCATATTTGCAGCATTTAAAAATATTTGACCAATTACTTCTTTATTTGCAAAGGAATATTTAAATATGTCTAAAAAAATCTAGATTTTTTTTTCATAGTTGATATATGATAATTTATGGAATTTATTTTTTTATCATCGCATTACTATTAATGTAAATTTTATTGGTCCAAAATATCTTTTTTTTTAAGATTTTAAACATTTGTTAACTCATTTCCTACTGTAATACTTGGGGTCACATTTTATTCAATGCTTCAGAATAATCCTGGCTCAGGAATCAGAAGCCCCTGCAGGCTTCCAGGTCCACCCCTGATGCTTCCTCCTCTGTCAGCTTGGGCAAGTCACTTCTCACTGGTGTGGGCCTCAGTTTCCTCACCTGTGATCTGAGGGGTAGGACTAGACGGGCTCGGAGTTTCTTTCTAGCTCTGCGTCTGTTGTACTAGGACACTTCTGGCGTGGTGATGGTTTTTCAGCTGAGTTTGCAGAAATGGGCCAATTGCCGTGAGATGACAAAGAAATTATGTAACACGGATGTAATCTGCATTGTAGTGGCAACGTCTGTGCAGGTGTTGAGGTCTCAATGATTGAGGCATACTGTGTGTAGGGAGGAAAAATCAAAATTTTATCCCTGTTCAGGTCAGGTTGGCAGCCTTCAGCTTCAGTTTGAGATATGCTGACCACACTTGGAGAGAGCCCCACCGGGCCTCTGTCAAATGTGCCTTAGCCAAGGTTTGGAAACTTCCCCCGTGGGCGTGACGATCTGCCAAAGGGTTCGAGCCTTCACCTTAAGTAACATGTAACATTCCATTGGGTGCAAATCCTGACACGCCATGGAAAAGGCGATTTTCTGGGTTTGCCAAATAAGCACACTTCCGTATCAAAATCATGCTGAAATATAACCCTTGTCTCAGCCCTTGTGGCCCAGACCGTCCACCCCAGGCTGCTGCTTTGGCCTCCATGTGGCCACCTTATCACTAAGCTCCGTGCTGCAATTGTTAATGGGGCTGGACCAACCTAAAAGGTCGCAGTGTGTGTATGTGTGTGTATCTTCCCACTAATTCCCCTCCTCTCTGGAGGGCTGATTATGCCAGACCTGCCTGTCTTTATAATGGGTTGTTTCTAATGTATGTCAGCATTTTTATGTGCCAGGTAGGAAGAAAAGTCTCCAAGTTCAGCCTTTTTCATGAAGACACTGTGTAAATCTGTATAGAAATTTATCACGTGAGAGGCGTAAAATAAGCCGTGTCTGCATTTGTGATGATCTGTGTATAGTCACAGTTATGTTCAGGGAACTGTGTTATGTGTCCTACGTGCTGCTCTTAGTAACAAAGCCACCGCCTTTCTTCCTGGTCCCCGTGGTGCATGTGGGACCGAATCGGTTGTGGAGGCTTTGCCACTATCTTATAATAGTTTAGGGGTGGGGGTTGGAGAGGAATCGTGGTTTGTAGAAATGGGGGCAAGGAAGAGACTTCATTTATAAGTGAAAATAAATCCCCTTACATATCAAAGCACAAAAATAAATATTTGAAAATAACGGGTTTTTCTCTCCCTTTGGCTTTTTGTGAAGTATCTTATAAGTGAGTGATAATGTTCATGTTCTAATGTTCTTTTAGACTGTGAGCTTGTGAATTTGGTGGGAGTCTGTGTGTGTGTGTGTGTGTGTGTGTGTGTGTGTGTGAGAGAGAGAGAGAGAGACAGAGAGACAGAGAGACAGAGAGACAGAGACAGAGAGAGAGAGAGTGAGAGTGCGCGGTAGATGCCTCAGATTAATTCAGGTCCAGGAGCTTATCATCAGAGTACCCACACACAGGAAAAATAAACTGGAAATAAACCAGGAAAAAAGAATTTCTTTGAAATTGACTTTCTTTCTCTTGAATCAGATGCAGTTTTTCAGTGAATCCCCTAAAAATAGAGGGAAAATTTTTGTAGTTGTTAGTGTGTGTTTAGAGGAAGTCAGTGCCGACATCTCTATTAAACTAATTTGGAAATCCCACCTGGAGAATAGCACCATTTATTATTTATCGCCCAGTTTTTAAATATACTTTTTTTAGATCTGTATCACATTACTTAAAGATAGATATGCAAAGGAGAAACTTGAATTCATAAGCATCTGAGTGTTGGCTTTAAATATGCCCAGTCCAGACATTTCAGAGGATTAATTGAATTACAGATTTCCACTGTGTTGTATAAATACAGCTGGCAACAATTTTTAGGGCAAAAAATATAGTGGATGTGCTAACTTTGTTATATTTGAGTAGTTTTTTATGTGCTAGTATGAATTCTGAAGAGGGTGGGGGTTTTGGGGTGCTCTTAGATGTACAGAGGTACCCCAAGATCGCGGGGAAAAGCCCAGATCGTGGCACAGATCTGCCTGAATGAATTCAACTCAGATCTTCTTCCATCCAGAGAAAAAGTTTATTAAAGATAAGCATGTAGGCCAGACTCCAAAGGAACCCAAACATCAGTGATCAAAATGGGGGGGTCAAGGTGGTCAGGTGACGCTCGTTAGGAGCAGCGTGAGGCAGTCTAGAAAGCTCAGTGTCTGAGTGGGGGCTGGGGCTAAGGTGGTCAGGGCAGGTGACCCCAAAACAGGCGGGCATGGGGTCTCATCCTCTAGGGGCATGAGCAATTCCCAGCGTCTGAGTGACGGGCGGGTATGAGGGGTCTCAGCTTCTAGGCTTGAGAACAGCTCAGCATCAGAATGGGGGAAAGATGAGTCTTAAGTACAGACTGATTGGGGAGGGGTCTAAGGAGTGACCAAGCAGTTTGGGGGGAGGGGAGGCAGGGCCTAGGGAGATCTGGATGGGGGTGGCCAGATAGCTGGGGCAAACGGAAAGCCTGGGTCCTGGACCTTGGGGCGACTAGCTGGGATTAAGGGTAAGAAATGGCCAAAGGCCACAGGAAGTTGAAACAATGGGAAAGCCCAGTTGAAGGGGGGGAGGTGAGCCATTTGGAAAAGGGTCCAGGTGAGAACTTCCCTTTGAAATGTCTGAGTGATTTGAACAGACAATGAGAATAGATAATGAAGGGAGCTAGAAGGGGAAGTTTGCTTTCAAAGGACTTTTAAAGGGAAATAAGGCAGTTTCTAAAACTTTACGGGTTTCCTGGGACCGGTGAACAAAACTGAAGCCAGGTTCTTTTTAGGGGCCGGGAAGGAAAGATGTCAAAGAGAGACTAGTGAGTCTAAAAGTTTTAAGGTTTTTCTGGGAATTGTAGGTGAACCTCTTCAAATTCCTTCCTATAACATCCCCAATACAAAAGCTTTCAATCTTTTTTTAATAGCCGTTATTGGCAAGATAATCGAGGGAGATTTCCCAGTGATTATGATCTAGAACCTTCTAAAGCACAGACACACACACATACATACACACATACACAAATAGACAATTATCTGTACTAAAATAAAGAATTCATATTTGCTCTAGCTCAATTTTTTAAAAATAATTTTTTATGTTAATGGAATATCCCCATTTCTGTTTTTGTCCTCAATTGTAATCCTGGCTCTGCTACTGATTACCACCTGTGTGACCTTGGAAAAATCACTGTACCTTCAGAGGCCTCAGTTTTATCATCTATAAATTGGGTGGATTAGATGAAATGATCTCTAAGGTCCCTTCTGGGCCTTGAACCTACAACCTATCTCCTCTAAGAGCTGACATTTTTATCGCAGGTTTTCCATCCATTGTCTCATATGACAGACGGCAAAAGTGACTTTTCCTAAGCTCTCACAGCTGGAGAAGCAGCTGCTGAGATGGGCAGGAGAGTTCCTCTTCCCCACCTCCCCCACCCCACTCTGGGCTCTTTCCCCTGTACCCTCCCGAAGGGGGAATGCTTTTCCAAATGTGCATTCAAAGCAGAAAGGACTTGAAATTTTGTTAGTAGTTTCTCAGTTGAATATATTCCAGTACCTACATCAAGGACAGCCTAAACTCTGGCCACTTTTAATAATAATGCTATATTGAATTCCCCCCCACCCTCTTTTAAACTAATCATCACCGACTCAGCTTTATTTTGATAAAGTAAAGATTGCTAAGCTATGTAGGTAGAAGGTAAGATTTCTATTTTAACAAAAAAAAAGATGTTTTATATTATTTATTAAATCCATGCATTTCTTTAATTTCTAAAACATTCCATGTCATTCTTGCTGCTTTTTAAAAAAATCTGTATAGTTTGGTATTTAAAGAAATAGCAGTTCTTTTCACAGGAGAAATGTCTTTTTAAAAAGGGACTTCAATGAATTTCTTTAAACTCTGTCCAGCTTACCCGTTCATAGAAATTTAGAAGGTTTCTTTTTTTAACTAAAAATTAGCCCACATTAAAGAGAGTATGGTTTTAGGCAGCAGCACCTGGCCGCCAAGGAACAGAGTACACAGCCTAATTCTTTTCACCTGTAAAATATACATGCCTTTTGGTGTCTCTATTAAGAGTTTGCCGTGAAATACTGCTTTAATCTACCTCTTCCACAAACTTCATACTTGTTGACAAATTCCAATTTGGCTATAATGTAAGGTAGCATATTTTCGGTTAATTTCCTGCTTAGTTGTTTCTTATGTGATCTAGATTTTTTTTTCTTAAGTCTGTTGAATTTTTATGGAATCCTATGACCTGAGGAGACTCCAAACTGTCTATATATGAGATCTCTCACGATCTGTGTTATTGCTGCTGCTTCTGCTGTATTTTAGGCCAGGATACACCATCCACGATTAGAGCTGGCCTGGTCTCAATGAAAAATATCTATCAAATAGGAGATCAGACTATATCTGTCACGGGATAGCATTTCTATAGAAGAGTTAAGTATTAAATGCAGGTTGTAGGGGTGGCATGTGCCTTGAATTTGAATGGGATCATTTCCCCTGGCCATTTCAAATGAGTTTGGAACATTAAATTAGAGAGATGTGCTTCGGATGCATGGTAGGTTATCACTGAAGTGCGCAATCTTTCTAGTGTCTCATAGATGCTTTGGAATGGTGTGCTAAAAGGGATTTCAAAAACCAGAATCCTTGTGGGAAAAAATGAAAAAAAAAAAACAAACAATGATGACGTTGTTAATTTCTTTAAAGAGCAGTTTCTTTTTCACAGCCTAACATTATTCAGTTACCTATTCTCCTCTGCAGATTTTAGAAGTATAGGAGTATATTCACATTCATAGCAGAATCATTTATGGAATCCTTGAAAAAAAAAGAAAAGGACCTTGTTTTCTGTGTGTGAGAGTTAACCCAAAAAGGCCAGTACTCCTGTAAATAATCTGAGCTACCATACCTAAGAAACGTCCTTGTTTGTTACCTTCTGAACTTTGGCTGTTTTCCTATTTATTGTGCAAATGAAGTTTGTTTTATAATTTCTCCATATACCGCATAACCAGTGCACGTTTTAAGTCGCTTTTTTCTTGAAAACTGTTCCCCACTAAAGGTAACTGTCAGCACTGTTCAGGATTTTTGTGCCACGCTTGGTCGATGCTATCCTTTTTGGGAGCGAGCTAACTTGGTTATTTTTTCTGTGTCGGTCTATTGCTCATATAAAAAGAATCCCAATAAAAGAAGCTGTCAGTGTACATCTGTTTTGGTGTCCACCTTTTTTTTTTCAATTAAAAAAATTCTCCTTGATTTGATAAAGATGTCTTAGGATGTGAGTCATTTGGAGTATTGATGGTGAGGGGCTGTGGCGGAAATGAAGGGGATGTTTTGGAAGACGGAAAGGTCTGCTGGTCAGTATCTGTCTATTGTTTTCTTCTGTTTTTGGTTTCCACCCAGTTTTTTATTTGCTTCATCCTTTTAGAGAATGCTACTTTCTTCGGGCTCCAGGGTTGGGCACTCAGTGATAAGAGATGACTGCAGAATTTCTGAAAGACAGGCTAGGCCCCTGGGTCTAATTTGCTGATTTTGAAAGGGGATTAAGCCATCTATACCTCTTACCACAAAGGCACATGTTAGAGTTGCTAGTATTATTTTTACATAAATAGCTTTTTTTTTTTATAAAGTGGAAATTAAAAAAGGCATTTTGTTTTCTAGAACAAAATGGCTTTGAGCAGAGGCACAGACTTGCATGAGAATTCTCTGGCAGGTCATCTAGGTGGGCATTTTCTTGCTCATTTGCTAGCAGCACTTGCTTGCTGTTCCTTGAAGCTCCGGGCAGGAAGGGAATCATGACTGGCAAATGTAGATTCTGGGCAGATCCCTGGAGTAGATTAAAGCTCATTGGATTGCAGAAGTGACGTGGTGGCAGAGCTGTTATTGAGTGCTGAGGCTCCTTCCGCAAAAGACGGGAGCTGGGGCATCCTTCACTGGGTGTGCCTCCCGTTCCAGAATGGGAAGGCGGGAAGATGCTTGTCCAGCACTCTCTGAGCCTCATGCAATACAAGGAGCGACTCTCGTGTAAGGAGGTGGCAGAAGGGGGCGCAGGGAGGGCCAGGGGAGGAGTTGCTCAGCCCTGGGGCATTCAAGCCTACACAAAGCCTGATGTTTTCGTGGGCAGAGCATTGTGTGGAATGGTCCAGTAGGTCATTGTGCCTTTTTAATCTGGAGCCCCTGCCTGCTT